CAACATATTTATTTTATTAAATGTCCAAAAAATTAAATAAAAAAGTGATCTTGATTCTGCTGTTATCCGAGACATGTGACTTAGAATGAAGACAACTTAAGTTTAACTGTAATAAAACATTAATTTTTAAGCCGGAGATTGTGGCATGTCCATATTCCTAAATTTTATAACATCAATATGAACTTATGTTTGAATACTTTGTTAGGTTTTTAAAAGCACAATGAATTTGTCTTCATCAAAAGTGTTAAATTCGACTTTTTTAAAAAAAATTAAAAATAAATATTTCTTTAAAAAAAAACTATTTTTGCTAATAACCAGTATGGTGTGTCAAATCTTGAGAATTTTATAAATATATGAATTTATTGATGTCTTCTTGTGAATAATTATTTTTTTCTTTAAATTATATCCAAGCCGTTTAATAATTTGACGAGATAATCCACTATATATGTATTTATTAAAACTTGAATCATTTTTATTTGTTTAAACCAAATTAATTTTACCATTAGTAAGAGTTAAATTTCCAATGAAGTATTCCTTCTTACCGGTTGCTAAAACTTATTTTACAATTAAAATTAAAATCAGCAATAATGAGCGATTCTGATTCAAGTTTGACATAATTTTTTTCTCCGATGATTATAATGATAAGATTTTCACAAACATATACGCAATTGTACTACACGATAATAACATAAATGTATATAGTTTTTAATTACATATAAGAATAATTTATGCTTACCTTTAACGCTTCAGTCCAATGAAATTAAGTAACATTATTCCTTTCATATTCTTAGATTAGAGAAGAGTCATTTTTGTAAGAGTAATGTTATTCATTCTCAGTAGGGATGAAAACACAATCTAGATAAATAGCATTACTCTTTTTGTAAACTGAAGATATACAAGGGTGGACACAGGATCATGATTTAGTTGGGGCCAAGAAAAAATTACGTAAAATATACTTTTAAATTAGACAACAATGATAATATTCAAAACGTAGTATTTTATTTACAATTATTCGTTATGGCTTCTCATACTTTTAAAATGTCGTATAATAGTTTTTTTTTTTTTTTT